CTGACCACATCTGTGAAATACTTGAAATGTGTCTTTTAAACCAAGTATTTCAATTTTAGTGGAACCTTCTTTAGCAGATTTCATGGCTGTGCGAAGGTGTCCCCAGTCTCTCCTATAGTGGCTATCTGTATATGGAGAAAACTGGAGGAACAAGCACTGGCTCGTACCAAGGGAACAGCGCCAAGCCATTGGTTTCGTATATGCTAGACGATACTGCGGTTTTAAGTTAATGGAACTAGGACATGTGGAACCATTTTCAGCACACATTAACTCGGTGGACCCTTTTAATAAATTTCACTCGCGAGGTATGCTAAGGAGAGTGAAACTTCGCCTTTCTAGTTGTAAGGTCATCATACTGGTGAACGAACAATTAGAGACTGAGGTCTTCAGAAAGTCCACTCACACTGACCAGTATTGGCTTTGATCAAATCATCCGCTTAAAACACCAAACTCGGGGCTTTGAACGCCCTTCTAACTACCGAGACCCACCAGGTCCCAACTTGCTCGGAAGGGAAAAGACAGAGAAACCAAACATGTTCAGAGCGCACTTTCCAGATGTGGCTACCCACAAGTGGTCTTTTTACTAAAGCCAAAGGCGAGAAAGGCCAGAGACACAGGCCAATCAGGTCAGAGAAAGTTGGAGGAGGTTGGGGTCGGTTTTGTCCTTACAGCTAGTGTGGCGGGAGTTTCAGAGAAAATACATAAAATTTTAGGGCAACACAAAATCCCTTGTGTATTTCAAACCTTCTCAACACGTTTTTAAGACAGAAATTAGTGCATCTCCCAAAGTCCAAAACACCCAGGGACACAAACAGAGCAATGTGGTGTATTTCAATTAATGTAGTGAAGAGGAGGTGAGTGCACTGACCATATATTGGAGAAACCAACAAACCTCTACAGAAACGACTTTACCAACATCGTAGAGAAAACTCTAGTGGGCACAGTCGGCTGTTCATCTCCACTACCAAGGCCTCCAACCACACGGTGGATGACACAGAGGTTAAAATTCTGGCTCGGGAGAAGAATTGGTTTGAGAGAGGGTGAATTCGAAAGAAGCCATTTTTGTGAGGAAACAAAAAACCTTCTCTTAACAGAGGAGGAGGGTTAAGATTTGTTTTGCCTCGCATCTATGACGACATCCTAAAAACAACGCCCTAACTTGGGACAAGGTCAAGTGACAATGCTAATGTGTTAGGACGGGGTGAAAACCTGCACTCCACTTGAGCATCCCAGCAGACAATAGGTCAGTGACATGCTAAGGAGTTAGGGTCGTTAGTCCTCAGCAGGGTCGTTTAGACCTGCTCCTTTCTACATCAAGCAGACCCTAGATTGTCTTACGAGGGTTAGTATCAGGGATTAGGGTGTGGCCTTACCACACCCATAGGTTTATAAATCGCTCCAACGCGCGTGTCCGAGAAAGAGAATTCATTCCCTGTACCGACCCAGTCTACCGGGTTGAGGTCGAATCGTCGGGAAACCTTGTAGATGACAGTAAGTGTAAGTGTGTAGAAAAACTGCACAATGTAGTGACAGGCGCTGATAGCTTGTTGTACTTGCAAAGTAATGGCAGTATTTTACACACCTGAATTACAAACAGAGATTGCATTGGGGCTGTGGTCATTATTGATTTGAGAGTTCTGTTATCAAGAAAAAATGATCGGAAGAATTGCATTCAAGTCAACGGAGTGCTGCTGCTGTGAGGAGCTGTATAATAAATTATAATTAAATATGTAAGGGATAATGTATAGCCTACAGGTCATTATCGGAAAATAAGTACCGACAGGGCGAAGCGGACCCCGACGTGCAGCGGAGGGGTCTGCTTCCGCCCTGAAGGTACTTATTTTCCGATAATGACCTGTAGGCTATACATTATCCCGCTTATTATACTGCTTTGTACCAACTTAACACACAAAATAAACTTCAGATCACTTTTATGAATGCCAAAAGTTTATTTAATGACAACAAATAAAGTAGTCCCAAAAAGTTTTCCCGTTGCTCGGCAACCGCGGGCAACAGTTAGGCTGGCAACTTCCAAACTAGAACTCTCTGGAACTGCATGAAAACTGAACAAAGAATTCTGAACATCAGCGGTGAGTGACCCAAACATAAACCTAACCTAAATCCATAATTTGATCCTCTGTAAATGTGTCCGAAAATGTGCCGGTATCTTAAAATGTGCCGGTATCTACTTCCGGGTTTTTCGGGATCGCCTTTTCTCGCATTACATCAGTGTTTTTGTCATGAAAACGTAAACGGAAAATTCTGAAAACTTCCGTGCACTTGTATTAAGACTGGATATGTATAAATTACTCTCCGATTAACATTTCATTGCGTTGATTGATTGGCATTTGCGTTTATTGAGCGGCCAGAACTACTTCCGGGTTTTTCACGATCGCTTTTTGACGCAGAGAAATAGTATTTTTGTCATAAAGACAAGACCAGAAAATTCTGAAAATTTCCGTGCACGTGTGTGAAGAATGTATATGTATAAGTATTCTCAGATTAACATTTAAGTGTGTTGATTGAGCGTGGCTAGCTCAGGAGTGGCCGGAACTACTTGCGGAGTTATCCACGCATTTGAAAGACAAGCAGAGAGAGCGTTGCCATGGGCAGCGGTCATTATTGTTTTGAGAGGTCCGTTATAGAAAATAATGACCGGTAGAACGTTTTGAAATTACATTCAAATCAATGGAGCATTCTACTGCTGCTGTGAGGAGCCGTATAATAATAGAATATATTCTAATGTTTAAATTAATACATTCGGACGCGAAACTAATGATATTCTTTTACTTATATATTGTGTTAGCAGTGCATTGCTTTAGTGCCATTTAATCACTGATTGTTGTACAGCTTACAAGTTGCGCTAATGCTAATGTTAGCATACATATCAGATCGCAAATAAAATTAGGTGGCTCCGTGTTATGAGAGCGTAGGGGAAATGAGAAGCCTGTGAGCGAGTTGGGGGGCGGTGCTAAACATTCAAACATTGCAGCAACGGGTATAGCGCCTTTAAGCTCGGTGACAGCTTGTGTAACACTCCCTCTTTTGGCATTTAGCGCTCTCTATTGGATATCTGAGTGGTTATCGTGTGATGATTTCGGTCGGACAAACACCTAATTAGGCTTTTTATTCTTCTGATTATTCTGTCTGATAATAAATCAGAACATCATAGTTTTAACCTTTACCCAATCAAATTGTTCTGTAGTTACTTGCAGGATGAACAGCAGTAACAGCAGACAATAGGCTGTGTTCATGTGACATCACAAGGGCAGCTGATATGTCAAAAGTCAGACCTCTTCTCTTAGTTTAGAGCATTTTCTCTGTAATGGCTCGTCTGCTCATCCAGTTTCACATCGTCTTTGTCAGTAAATAAAAGTCTATAGCTATGGTTCATTTATTTTTTCATAAAGATGTCTAAAAGTGGTGTTAATATTCCAAATCAAATGCATAATGTTGCCCAATAGAAAAGACTTCCAGACATAATAATAAAGATTACATAAGAATAATAGCAAAAATAACTAAAATCTAATAACTATCAAAAAAAGGATGTGGGAAAACATTTGGACATTTTTTCAACTTTTCTCTTTTTAATGAATGTTTTTTTCTCATTCTTGTTTCTTTAATGAAAAATGTCCTCCAACTAAAATAGAATTTTGCACAGATATTATTTCAATATCCTTCACGAGTATGAGTCCATGCATTAGTTCATGAGAATCATGCATGAACTCATGTACAATTAATATAAAGTGTTACCAGATTTTTATATTTGCATGCCTTTATATGTGTTTGCTTGTTTCCACCATATTCCAAAGCAAATTTCTAGTTTGTTACTGTCTGTTACTTACGATGGCGATTAAAATAATGCTGATTCTGAGTCTAGTATTGGTCATTTATAGTTAGAAGTGTGAAGAGGAGGAGTTAATGACCACAAATCACATCCAGCAAACTTACATCAATTCAGTTCACATTTTTAAGTAAGTAAGTTTATTTATATACAGAGAAAAACAACACACATACCAATCAGTACAATTTGATGAACTTGTTTATGAATATGAACTAATTTCCCCAAAAGCCACCAGCAAACAATAGGTATAAAAGAGGATCATAGACTGACAGACATCTGTTCTGTTCTATTGCAGATAAAGTGGCCCGATAGACTTTCTGCTGCACTTCTCACATCATCAGAAGTCCAGAAGCTCATCATTCCCCCACTTTTCACAGCATATCACGTTTATGGAAGACATAAGAACTGCATGTAGCCCGGCTTCTTTATGATTTATAGCAGGGGTGCCCATAAAAATATAACAAATTCAAAACCTTGTATATGGTGATAGAAGTGGGAAATTATATGAAGAGGTCTTTTTTGTATAAGCATTCCGTATAGTTTCTACTTTAAGTTTGAAAATAAGTCGTATTTTTCATTATATCATCATCAATTAGGTGTCAAAAATAGTTCATATTAATGCCACAAGCCACGATGAAAGCCTTAGATTTTCTCTCATCTGCTGATCATGGCATCCCGTTATGTTAAGCAACTATTTCTGTTATAACACACACACAAAAACAGATAACTTAATAGATAGGGATTAGACATATTAACATTGTAATGAAAACCCCATGACTTATCACGCATGTCTTCAAGGTAAAAAACAAAACAGCGAGAAAAATAATAAAATAATCTGAAAATCAGAAACATTGGAACAGCAACAGCCCTCTCTAAAACTCCTTATAAGCTTGGACTAAATATAGCAATGGGCCCTCGAGACTGTCACTAATTTCTCTAATTAATCTGTTTTATAATTCATCATTTTTGAAGAAATCAATAATGTTTACAGTTTCATTCCTGGGATTTTCATGAGTTTGTAACACAAGTAGATTCCATCTAAAGCCAAAACTGAATAGAAGAGCATGGTCCCTTGTCTCCATCCGACTGGCCTAGCAGGAAATTGCAAATGCAAGGAAGGGAAATTTGGTAGCTAACGATGCAAGCTATATAACACTTAACTATCCATAATTACCCTCAAACTGCGCTGAATTGGTTTGTGTATGGCCTTGCAGCGTGGTGCAGGCTTCTCCTCCCCCTTGTACCCGCCAAATACTGTATGTAAGCATTTTAAAACATTTATAAACAGGCCTTCACAGCCAGCTAATGCTTGCATCATTCTCTGAAAAAAGTTGATGATTTGTCTCACCAGTGAAAATCGGGCAAAGCTTCTCCCAGCAGGTGATGCCGCCCTCGGAGGTGAACTGTCCAAGGGCCACCTCCAGGAAGAAGACTGGCAGTCCTCCACCAAACAGGAAGATGAAGTAGGGGATGAGGAATGCACCTGGGACAAAGCAGCACAGGTTGGACTTTTGTACAGTTTTCAAGTATACACATTTGCTATCTTAAGGTTCTACACAATAATATTAAAGGTATTGAGGGTGATTTTGCTTGAAGTCCCATCTCTCTGAAGAAAATGTGTCTTCCACAAGGAAGTGTTATTTCGGTTCTCTTCTGTCTTCTGCCTAGAAATATTTCAAATCTTCTCAGAAACCCATATGACCACTTATTTTGGCCAAATTCACAAAGATTTAATAAAGATCAGTTGCAAGACAGGTGACAGTGGTAGTCAGTGATTCACTGCGTGTGGCTGGACAGTGAGGTAGTCATCTGTCCACCAATTATTTAATGCATTTTCAATTGGCACCCACACCTCCTTAAGTACTTTTAAGATCTGTGATTTAAAAAGAGCTTTTGTTTTTGTCCAATTCATAAATGCACAGGTGTAGTTTCGTTGACGTCACTTCGATTTAGAATGAATGGTTTCTCTGTATACTTACTATGTGGATTAAGCTTCAAACGTACAGAAAATTAGATGATTTGGAAAGTTATCCTATTACACCAGGCGGCACACCCCAAGTCGGCACACCCCAAGTTTGATTCCCTCCAGACGAGGACTTTCTTTGTGGAGTTTGCATGTTCTTCCCTTGTCTGCTCAGGGTGCCCCAGTTTCCCATACCATTAAAAACATCTGCAATTGCAAGATTTGGAGGGCTGGCGTTTATCCAATCATTATGCAGTCGTCATGTGTTGCCAGGGTCCAAAATCTGCCTTTAGGCTTTCAGAAACACCAGTGCAGACGCATGGCAGCTTAAAGTGGTTCTCACCCCCGCTCCTCGGAGCTTACGTTACTCACATTTCCTGTTCAAACCTTCCTCTAAATGGGCGTAGCCTGGAGGACTAAAGGGGGCGTGAACGAGACTGGGCCGTTTACATTGCTCTGGGCGGGGGGCTGCTGACATCAGGTCCAACTTGCAGACGTCAGGTCCAACTTCTGTGCCAGTGTTGGCGCCAGATTCAAAATTCAAATGTAGTAATACAGGTCGCCAGCAGATGGCGCCTCACAGACGGTTTTAGGCAGAAAGTTTAACTTTCAACTAATTTGCACCAAAGTGACAAGATTATGACCAGGATATGTAGACAACACTATTGGACACTCATTTATACCGTTTATCAGCAAAAAAAAGTGGATTTGAGGGTGAGTTGTCCTTTAAAGTGAATGATAACAAACCTATGACACTACCGAAGTTGGCTTCCCCGAGCATCAGTGTGTGCACGTCTTTTGATGTCAATGAACAGAATCAAATTGCTAATTTGTGTAAAGCAAAAGGTTGTTTTCGTTTTTTAACCCACAATGGCTAAAGGTGGCTAAGATATCAATTTGGTTCAAGGTATAGTTACAACGTCATTCTCAAGAAAAGCTACACGCTGAAGGGAGACACCTGACCCCGACGCTAGCAAGCTTGACTCAGCAGGAGCCCGGTTCCTGGCAGCAGGCTCAGAGAACCATGGCAAACTATTTCCCAGTGGACAGTTTGTCTGTATCGTCGTGATTCTGTGATGCTGCTCTGGGTGAAACAGATTTATTGAATTGAGAGTAAGCCTTACCTCCGCCGTTCTTGTAGCAGAGGTAGGGGAAGCGCCACACGTTGCCTAAGCCCACAAAACCCCCAGCCACAGACAGGACAAAGTCCAGTTTGCTGGCCCACTTCTCCCTCTGTGGATGCTTCCCCTCGGCTTCATCCTCGGGCCGGGTGCCTGGACTCTTCCCTGGGGACGGCTTCAGCGTGTCCTTGTGGAAGTCTTTCAGGCATTGCAGCTTCTCCTTTTGAGACATTCTGTGGATGACACACAAGTAAAATTAAGTGAGAGGACATATATTTAGTGCCAAAATCATAAAGAACCTGCTAACTGGCTTCATCAGTGCTTCTCGATTATTTCCCCCACACTTGTCTCATCTTAGGATCAGTTCAACAAATCAGTTCTCAGCCAAAAGAGTAAAAAATATGCTAAAATAATAGTTAAATTATGTAATACATTAATAAATAAAATAAAACATTGTAATGTTATTGTAATTGTAGTGTAATGATGCATCTGTGTATCATTACAAAGATTATTATTATTGTTTGGCCTTTAACATAATTTGTCTTGACCTATATGTCCTCAAAATATATTTGCTGTCACTGAACATCTGAAAACAATAAGATTGAGAATGCTTATAACTTTGCTTGTATATACACTTAAAAAAACCAAAACAAAAATTAATAATTGAGGTCCTCAGATGATTGCCTCTACTAACCCTGACATTGATTGTCAGAATATATTTGTAATTTCAACAGAAAAGAGATTCTTTCCATGATAGCCCAGTCCAGTCCCAGTCTCCAGGCTAGTCTTGCAGATAGACCTGAATTGAGCTCCATTTGAGTCCCAGTTGGGAGCTGCCTTTGTCCGCTAAAACCTCATCATATTCCTCCATCTGCACCACTCACTCTGCCCCCAGGCTCATGCTTTCTTCAAATCCACTTTTTATATATATTTTATTCATTTGGCAGTGTGTACTTACAAAGGCTCTTCCGTGAAAAGATGCGGAAATAATAGGCTCAAAACTCAATATGTTTATTCAAGGGATTCATCCAAAGAACTCTCACTAATAAAAAAAATAACCTTATGAAATATTTCACACATAAATTAGATTGTGCAAAGTTGAGCCTAAACATCTCATTGTTGGATCATGTATTTAGCTGAATGTTTTCTTGAACCACAACCATAGCCCAGTAGTTTAGTGTTGTACAGTGAGAGTGTGAATGTTTCCTGTTTCACACCAGCAACAAAAAGCAGATAAGCACTTGAGTAACCGTCATGCACTATGAGCGCGAACTCTGACTCACACACATGAAACTTAAGCATAAATTCAGACTGGAAGACCCTGAAAAGAGCCGCCATCCCTACCACACTAACTCATCCCTATCTACACAACTGCGCCTGACCTCAACAGGAATCAGCCTCAGCTGCTCAGTAACACACCTGTGCTCATCATCACTTCATTACAGCATTTAAACGGAGCCTTTCAGTTCTCTTCAGCTTCAAGCTGCTGTTCAAGCAGCAACCCACCTCCTCCCCGTCACAGCCTAATCAATGAAGTATCATGTCATGTCTTCGGCTCAGCTTTCTTAACTCATAATTTCTATTCAACTCCCTCTTGCATATGTCTTACAGTATTCCTGCCAGGGTCTAATTGCCAAGCTTAATGAATATTTCATGTTAAAAAACGCAATAAATATAATAGTACCCAATCCAAGCGTCTGCTGGGTTTAATTGTCTATTCAAGCAATCTTGACAATAAATATATTCTAATGCAAACTTTGTTTCAAGTCTTTTCAAATTGAACTATGGAAGAGAAGTGCACATCTAAATATACACTATATCAAATAAAGGGCTGAAACCAATAGACATGGTAATCATAAATAATCCATAATTGTCAATTAGTATAGTAATAAATGGTTATGTGGACTATGAACAGAGTACTAAACATACAGTAGGCTACAGTATGGTAGCTAGGATGTGAGTTTTTTTTTTTTTTTTGTAGGTTCCTCCTCTCACTTGCGTTTAAAGATCCATGGCAAATTGTTCAGAGTTTAGTAATACTTCATTTTGCGACTGTGAGTTTTTCACAACCAAAAAAAAACCTTAAAATAATTTATGCACAGATAGATTGGTAGGAACCAATACTAACAATCATAACGTCAGGGTTCTCACCCGATGCTGCTCAAAATCTGTGTGTCTTGTTATGTTTTTTATGTTTTGCGACAACAAATATTTAGGATTGTTTTTTTTTATTTTACTTTAAAGACTATCTTTATCCCTGTGTCTTTATGTGCGTACCAATCAGCTGCAAAAGTATTCCTTATCTTATATTATCACCAGCTTGGTCAAGCAGTTTTACTTTGTACATGGACAACCCATGCACTTGGACCCTGTGCATGACTGGAGACGCTGCCCTGGCCGGAATGCAAACTCCACTTGATGTCTCCATAAAGTTTGCTGGATGGGCCGACTCATGTTTCACGTGTTGTAAGTGGCAGTGAGTAAATCCTTGTTCACGTTGTGGCTACAGTTACGGCTGGTGCATTCCCCTGGCTGACAGCTGAGATGGATGTGGAAACGGGGGATGAGACCCTACAGTTGCCACGCCGACATCATAGGCAACAGCTGATGAAACCAACACGTACACGGAGGTGATATAGGAGCAGGAGGCGCAGCGGCGGGGCACACCTTTGTTTACAACTTGTGATTAAAAGGATATGTCTGTGATTAACGGTGACAGCCATGACATAATACAGCGACTGGGGCCGAACTGTTAGAAGCATAAGATTAAACCAAAGGGACCTTGAAATAATAAATTCAAAATTATGATAATTTATTGGTTTTATATAGCACATGTCTGGGCACTAGCAATGACTTATTCAAACTGAATGACTTGACATTCAAGACGAGGAGTGCCCAGTGTGGACAGTCCGACCAAAAAGCTCCAATTTGGACGGAATTAAAACCACAATGTTTTATAGCTTGCTGCTACCAGGTCTACAAATTCACTACACGGAATGAGATCAAATAAAGTTTGTGATTTAATACATGCTGCTCTTTCCTTTACAGCTGCAAAGGTCGCAGCAACAGTTGAAAAAAGCCCTATTGTGTTGTGGAGATTAACCATGTGACCAAAGTTAAGTCCTAAGTTTGTTAATATCAGTGGGAGTTTCCCACTTACATAAAGGTCAATAAATTGGAGTGTCTATTGTGGTTAAATATTGCCTCCAAATTAGTTTAGGGAATTCCTCCCGACAAATTCTGTTCTTTACAAATGCATGCCTTCATTCAGATTTCACCATGTAAATATTTAATCATAAAAGCAGAACGACGTGTCGAAGCCCTGCCCAACTATTTGAATGCTGTAGTGGCCAGCAAGAAAATAAGTATTTTCTTAAATATTTATTTATTCCACAAATATATGTATATCAAATTATTACCCATAGTCCATCTCTTCTTCCGAAGTTTGTTGCGCAGCTTCCATTCCCCGGCATTGTTGTCAGGGTCTAAAATCTTCTGTTAGGCCTCTAGAAGCATCAATCCTAGCCCAAGGTCTAAAGTGAATGATAAACTAAACTTTGGCATTAACCGATCAATATGAAGTTGGCTTCACAGCGGGCCAGCTACAGTAGCAGGCGTACAGCGTCAGAGCGTGCACGTCTATTGATTGGATATGCGATATAGAGAGGTGTCAAAGCAGATATCTCATTGCGATACACAGACAAGACATTTTTTATTGATTTGAATGAATTTGCCAGTGTGCTCTGTTTTGTTTTGTGAACAAACTTGTTAAAACTGTTGAGTAAATAAAACTCAGTGCATAATGATCAAACACCGGAAGGAGCTCATTGTTGGATCAACTACTAGTGCATTTATCTCATCGTAGACGTTACCTTTTACCACAATTCCTTTTTTTCAGGCAGGCAAATGCAGGTCATGAAAGTTTGCACAGTTATCTAAGGTTTAACTGGAGCTTACCGTTATCACTGTTTACACACTGCAGACACTGGGCCAATAGCCACCGAACATACATGTACGGTATCTTTATTTTTTACAGAACAAATAAACATAATAAATGTGTGCATGTGTGCATCTGAGTATGAAAAATGAGAAAGTAAAGGTCATCCTCTACTGGTGATTTTCAAATGTATAAGTCCTGGGATATTTTTTTTTCACACAAAAATGATTGTTTTAAATTGATACAGAAGGCACAAGACACTTAAACTCTGGGAACATCAGCCATAGTGGGGCGGCTGCGGCTGTAAAGTGCCAAACTGCCGTTGTGTCCTTAGGCAAGACACTTCACCCCCATTTCCTAGAATTAGTCTAGTGTGTGTGAATGGTTGGTGGTGGTCGGAGGGGCCGATGGCACATACTAATTGCCTCGCTTCTGCCAGTGTGCCCCAGGGCAGCTGTGGCTACAGTAGTAGTTTCTCACCACCGTGTATGGAGTGAATGAATAATGACATGTGAAGCATCTTTGAGTGTCCAATAAAGTGCTATATAAAACCGATGCATTATTATTATTATTATTATTATTACATTGTGCTTTGGTCTGCAACCGGATGACAAACATGGATTGTCACGATACTGTAGTTTGAACACTTAAATCTAAATGTTAAAGGTGGTGTAGCCAAACACTGTTATTCAATAAAACTAGATCGTCACTCTCAAAACAGTAGTTTGCACATGCACTTTTTCAGACAAAAAGTGAAAAAGAGAGGACCATATTTTTCCAGCTTGCATCAAATAGTGACTTACAGGGCTCTTTCTTACTTGCACTCACATGATGTTTTATAATAAATAATTTATGTATTTGTGCTTGCAAAGTGAATCAAAAGACGACGTTCAGATATCATATTCTGGTAGATTTATATTAACATTATTTGGCCAGTGATTTGATTTTTATAAGAAGAGCCTATTGCTAGTTTGTCGTAGACTCGAGCCACGACATTTGAAATGCATATTCAACTTGACAAAAGAAAATAAAGTTATTGCTGTCATGGCCCTTGACTGGAAGTCCATCATCAGGAAATTAACATTTAAATATTATATTTGGCGATTATGATGAAAAATCAAAACTCTACCTTGGCTATTTCTCCACGTCGTTTAAACATGTGTATTATCTCAGGTCAGCCGTAGAACTTGGATTGGTCAAACAGTGAACGAGCCGCAATTTCTTTTTAAATTTCAATTTAAATGTGTCTTTTGTTTACACATACAAAGTCCGATTTGCATAATATTTGAATCAGTGATTTCAATGGTTTCAGTTGAGGCTCCTGGGCCTCGGTCACCTGGATTAAAAAAAACTGAAACACAGTGGGCCAAGGATCCCCTTGTTATGCAACGGAGGCTCACACAGATCATATGCTTTATATTATTTTTTCCTCCACAAGAGTTATTAGAATGGTTTGTTATTGCCACCTCCTTTGGAAGATGCGGCAAAGGCCTTTAGATGCCGCTTGCAACTTTGATTTTTTTTACCCTTAATTTGACCCTCCGAACATGCAAAAAAAATCACAGAATGTTGTGAAAAATTCAGTCAGGCCTGACAGTAACCTCAAGAAAAGTAAATTAACTTTGAGCCTTTGGGAGCTCGCCTGACATTAAGTTTGTCATAGAGCCACAAGAGTTCCGTACAAGAAAAGAAAAAATATATATTATGGCCAAGATATACTGTAATATCCCAATGTTGCAAGTTAATAATAAAAAGTGAAAGAAAAAAAAATTAAGTTCATAATAATTTAGTTTGCAACTAAAAATGCCAAAAATGACATGCCTGGATAAAACATATGCCAACCATCCCACAGTCTCTTTCTGGTCTATTTTGGAAAAACCAATTACACAATGCTGCTCTTTCATCACGTCCAAACTTTCCATGTAACTCTATCCTCCCTCCACAGCGGGGCGCCGCTTACATCGTGCTGGACTTTTGGACCGTGCATCAGTGTGAATGTCTTTTAATAAAGTCCAGATAAATCTTCCCACGGGTCTCATTCACAAAAGCCTCCACACTTTCCCCCATGTAACCACAGCTAACTCTTAATGTAACCACACCATTGCAATAATGGCTGCTAAATGGGCCCAAAATAAAATGGCCACACAATTAAGCTTGTTTACACCCGGTTTAGTTACCAATAAAATAATGAAAGCATGTTTTATTCCACAGAAGGACATTTTCTTAACACATTTCTAAAATCATAGTTTTACAATCAAAGTATAACAAAATCATCTATCATTTTGGTAGTTCAATAAAAAATCACAAATAAAAGTTTAAGCTGAATTACTTTGGTAAACCACTCTATCCATTTGGGCCGCAACGACAACAAATTGTCGGTTAGTTTATTGTCAACACGCTGCCAAATTCCTTTTTGGAGGAATGCACCGATAAAATGGACAAACATTTAAACATTGTCAACACAGCGCTGGATCCTAAATTGTTGTACTAAAGACAAATTAGTGTTTTGTATTTGAGTAAAATGCTGTTTAATTCCCCGATTTAGGGTACGCTTAGCCCGATTTAGGGTACGCTTAGCAACAATCAGAACCACACACTCATGCTCCATGGCCTGGATGTAGGATGTATACAGGACACTGGTTTAATATTGGCTATCATACAATTGTATTTTCTTTTAAACAAATTAGTTGTTAGCTAATTGACAATCAAAAAAATATTCATTGCCAAGTCCACTTCAATAATAATCATTACTGACAGCCCTAGTATGCGCTGAGGAGCCTCTATTCTCTGTCAGCCAAGTCTCCATTGCTCTAACTCTCTCTGTTTTCAATGTTTTTTTAATCTGTGAAACGCACAGGATCTGGCCTTGTCACGCTGACATTTTGAGACCAATAAAAATGAAATGAGCACTTTCACATCACATACAAGGGCAAGTACAACCCAATACAGAAAAGACTATATCAAACTTTTCTATTCCACAGTAAATCAATCTATCAGCGATATAGTATTGATCTGCCCAACTATCCTTGACACATATTCAAAAGGCTGGACCAAAAAGCGAAAGATAAAATGGATGCATTCTCAAGCTTTCTTAATCTCAACTATCAACATGTGCATTTAAATTGATAGACAATGAACATGGAGATGAAGAGGACTTGTTCTTTCTCCTAAACTCACTGTTTTGGAGAAAAACCGCTGTGCAAAGACTCAGGAATTTAGACAAAGGCGTGTTCAGTGCAAACACAAAAATATAGCAGTTATTGAGACAGAAATGAACAAATTGTTTTATAGCCCGTAGATTACATTTGTCCAGTGGAAGATGGTTACAAAACCGCACACAAGTCACAAGAGGGACAATACTTTGCATAATGTAAGTGAGTCAGTAAGTCATCTTTTTTTATATAGCACAAATTTACAGACCAAGGTCACCCATAGCACTTTTTTATGTTCAGAGTTCAGATAGTGTTCCATTCACTCCACACACAGTGATGACGGAAGACGCATCAAAGCCTCGGACCAACATTATCCATTCACTCACTCATTAAATTCAAGTGCAAGTTTTTAATGGTAGGGGAAACCAAGAGCACTCGGAGGAAACCTACGCAGACACGGGGAGAACATGCAAACTCCACTCAGAAAGACCCTGTTCCAACCTATCCGCGTAGGTTTCCTCCGGGTGCTCCGAGTGAGTGCCACTGTGGGACGATGGATGGAATTTATCCGAAAGCTACAATCCGGAGTGATGTGTTCATAAACATGTCCAAACCAGATAAACAATAAACTAAACTAAACTAATTATCAGATGTGTTCATGTGCTGGGTACTCTTTCCTTTGTAAAGTTGTCCTTGTGAAAAAAAAGGTTGTAGAATGTTTGTATTGCTCCACATGTATCACAACCTTACTGTTTCAACTTTGCATTTTATGGCTTGAATCTTGAAACTAAACTGCATGTTTATCACGCCCATATGCAGCGTACATTTGAGAAAAGCAATTGTATCCCTTATGAGAAAAAGCCAAAACCAAGAAAAAGAAGAACTAATAGATTTTTTGGCATGAGATTTTCCAGTCCAATGCAACAAAGCAAACAGCATTTCAAGTCTGTGCTTACTTCAAAATAACTAAAAACCAACATTTTGATTCAAAGGTTGTCAAATCATTTAATCAAAGCATACATAGCAATAGCACGACTTCTTTGCACCGTGGTCAAGGTGAAAATGAGAACTGAGGCTTGAGAACCGTATAGGAGAATATACGCCCATGGGGAAGACTCTTTGTGAAGCTGTGATCCTGTAGTTTTGGCCTCCAATGGATTTACTCCAATTATAAAGAGAAGCTGCTATATGGTGGGTCGTCTGACTGAGAAGACAGAAGAAATACCTTTTTGGTTTTATGAAGAAGGGGGGGCGGAGACAGTCTATTGGGGTTACATGCAATAGTTTATGTTATTTAATTTTTTCAATATATAATTAGGGTTTATGATTACGTATAGTGTCTCCATTTGTCTGTCAGTATTAGCTACTGGGGACTTGAATTCATTTATTTATATTATTATCAATTCATATTAAATCCATTGAACAGAAAGTAAATTGCACTCGACAGTAACAAAAGAAAAAATCATCTTCAATCGACCCAATCTAACATCTGCTCAGTGTTGCAATTTTACAATCCACGCAAAACACTAGAACACTTCTGACTGAGTACAGAGTATAGATTTGTATTTAATCAACAACAAAATTCACGTACGCTGTCGTTTTTGGCATTCTCGGGAAACAACGTGCGTCGCTTGGACCTGAGCATCATCGCCACTCCGCCCAACATTTCTCCCTATTCTCAGACAGGCGCCCATATAACGGTGCCTATAAACAGTGCCACGCTAAATTACAAACAACGATGTAGAGTACGCACTGGTCATGATTCAAAACTTACCAAAAAACATTAACAATACAATGCAATAACCTCTTGAGGAGAAGAAGCGAAATCCACGTTCGATGCTTTGACGCGCGCTGAATGAGGAAGCTGCAGGTTGTGATGTCGCACAAAGACGCACAAAATAAAAATATAGGAAAAACGACAAAGACACCGTTATATGAAAAGAGCGTGGTGCGTACTGGCTTAAAACGCATTATGGAGGCAATAAAGAAACGCACACTTAATTTCCTTAAAGATACAATTGTTAATACTTATAAATCAAATTGTGTGTGTCTTACCTGCTTGAGTTGAAATCTGTAGTCCTTTTAACGTCCTTAAAAAGTGTTGTCCCTTGTCTGTTTGATGTGTTTGAATAGTATCATATATTATCAGGGCTCGTATTGGGTCGTTGCCGTTCCGTCAGCGTGCGACAGACTGTGGGATCCGCACGCGTCGCTCTCCCTGTTATAAGCTCCGCTCGTTTTGACCTTTGTATCGAGACGGGGGCTTTGAGGAGAGGCATCAGCGGCAGTGGAAAATCACCGGCCTGCCTCTTGCTTCTCACCAAGTCCCCCCTCCCTTCTCGCTTCTCTCCTCTCCTCCCTCCAGAGCTCACGGGTGGAGTCTGAGCGTGAGGAGCTGCGCCGTGAGGGCCGCGCTGACGAGACTCGCGCGCTATGAAGAATGAAATTTAATTCTATTATTGTTTTATTTTTTTCTGTAGCCCTGAATCACAACAATCGTCGTGTCAGATTATGTTATAACGCTGTAGATTACTCATGAACAGATCAGAGAAAAAGACAGTTCGAACACAGGAAATGCAATAATAACAAAAACATAAGAACTATTGGTCCAGAGCGCGGATGGACGATGGACATGAATGTTAAGAAATGTCCATTGAAGTTCTGGAGTTTCTGGGATCTTCACTGTTACACTGTACTGGGTTAGAGTGAACCAGATTGTCAACAAAAAGATAAGTATGCTTAATTTCTATTTTAAGATAAGATAAGATAAGATATGCTTTATTGATCTCACAAAGGATAAGTTTACATGTCACATTTGGCATGGATAGAAACACTCAAGATTGTGCAAAAAGAAAGGAAATGTGCAAACATGTTAAATGCAGGATATATTATGTACATTAAAAAAGTGTCAATTTAGGGTAATTTAAGGACTTAATTACCTATGTGTTTTGTTTAATTTCCTTGATAATATTATTGCACATGTTGACAATATTGAATAATAATCCGAATATAATTTCTTGACAGTTAAACATTTTTGAGGATAGTTACAATGTATCAATGGTCAAATTAGAAATGTAATAAACATTATCTAAGAGCAAATGTGGAAAATTATGTTTTATTACTTTTGTTGGTCATTGTCACTATTGTTATTGTGTGTCTTCTATACAAAATGTAAAATGGACAATTTTTGTCAACAATGTTTTTGACTCTGCAGTGATCAGTCGGTCTGTGCTGGGAACAGCAACATCCCAGGGATAGAAAGAGGCTGGACATGGTCACCAGGAAGTTCAGCTCGGTCCTGGAATGTCCAATGGACACAGTGCAGCAGGTGGGGGACAGGAGGGTCCTGGACAAACAAACATTCATGTTGGACCAGAACTATCGACCCCTGCAGGACTCTGTCTGCTCTGGAGAGCAGATTCAGTGACAGACTGAGCCACCCTCACAGTGTGAAGGAAATATTCTGCAGGTCTTTCCTTCTGCTGCTGTTAGACTGTTAATTTGCATCTGATTTGTTTTTGCTATTTAGGTTTAAGTATCAGTTCCACAGAATGATATGCGTTTGAAGTCCTCATAATGAGTGTTTAGATACAGGTTGTAAATACATTATCTGCAGGACAATTTTGTGTTCGGCGTCTCACTTCCGGCATCATTGTGTGTGAATAGAAAAATATCGGAATTCGACACATTGTAAAGCGCTTTGGGTGACCTTGGTCTCCAAAATTCACTATATAAATAAACATTATTTACTTACTTGTCTTGCCATGCAGGGACATCTTACTGCAGGTGTCTCTATACAGCCCTTACAGTGCAGCTCCACATCTGCAGAATTATACAATCATCACTCAAAGCAACAGGAAAGTAATGATGCCTTCACGGACCAAATAGACTGTGGGCAACAATAGTAGGTCCGCTTCCAGTACAGAAAATGTATGGATAGAATTTTATTGATAAGAATTGTGAATCAATTCATGAAGAGCAGTGTCTTTTGTCTGATGTGGATCTTGTGCATATTCAGACATGTCTCATTTTTAACAGTCGAATTTTGTGCAGATTAGAATGTTGTTTTATCAAGGTTCTGAAAAACAGCCTCTGCCGACAGTGAACGTGACTGTTCACAAGTCTTTATTAGGGTGGCACAAGAGGCATATGACAATATTAGACACTGTCTTTTATTACCCATTGTCTTGGCTTCTTCAGACACACATGCTCCACAGAGATCATGCATGTTTTGGTCATTCGTGTTTATAGGGACAATGTGCCATAGTGAGGGAGTGCATACAATGAAAAAAACTACTAAAAAATAGTAAAAGGATAAAATACATATGGTATGACTTTTTTGTTTATTAAAAATAGAATTTGCAGTTGTAGAACTGCAAATACTACAAAAGATAGAAGTAAGCGTTGAAGAGTTGAAACAGTCTTCCAGTATTGCAGTACTTTGAATTTCTAACTTTTCAATTGATTAGAAACGTCTTTATTTCTCCTTGTGGGCGACAGTGGCTCAGTTAGTAGAGCATTGGCCTTTGAGACTGAAGGTCGTGGGTTCGAGCCCACCATGAGATCTACTTCAAGACTCCCACTGATGACTGCTGTCATTGTGTCCTTGGGCAAGACACTTAAAGCTGCACTAACTGTCTTTATTTTCGTATTAATTACGAAAATGCTATCCATGTCCATGTAGTGCATTGGGATATACGTCCTTTTGAAGAATAATTAGCGCAGATTTGTGCTGGCATGACATTATATTTTAGATCGAGTTTTGATGAAACAAGGAAGAGAATGTGTTTCGGGTCGCAGATTGTGACCAATCACAACGGACCACTGGCCCCCACTTTCGTGAGAAATCTACAGGTCCGTTAGCACAGACAGCTGCGTTAGCACAACAAGCCGAGGAGCTAACCTGAAACTTCGTGTGTCTTCGTCACCGGTTACTGCTTACTTAGCGAAACAGCCATCCAAAAGAAAGTCCCATTCCTCCGCGCTTCCCGGTTCTATCGTTTTATGGTCACGCCATCCACGTGCAAATCCATATTCATGTATTATCCATATTGGGAGACACTAGCTCCGTCCCAACAGTGAGTGTGTGTGGGGGGCGATAGCTTCGTGGGTGCGGGGAGGGGAGCAGAAAGAGAGAGGCCAGCGAGTCCACGGCTTCAAAATCCCAAAGTCAGTTAGTGCAGCTTTAACCCCACTTTGCCTGGAGCCCTCGCTGAAAGATCTCAGCTCCTGTGGACTCACCACCTGCAGGAGGATCAGTGAGGAGCTGGTGCTATGTGCACTGGGTGCAGCTCTGACTGCCACCACCTCACCCAGAAATGGATTAAGGGGAAGAAAATGGATGGATGAATGGATTCATTTATTTATTTATTTATTTATTTCTCAAATCTTTAAAAATATGTTATTTTCCACAGACCTTTTTTCTGACTAATCACATTTATTTTAGTACTTTGACCTTTGTAGATGTACTTTTATCTATATTATATAATATTAATAATTATTTATTGTATGCATAGAGTAATGTGGTGAAATTATGTATTTAGGGTGTAATTGTGGAGTAGAATATTTGGGTGTAATTGTGTAATAATGGTGTGAGAGTAATAGGAGTCCAACAACGTAATAGAGTAACAAGTGTATTGGTGTAATAAGGTTGTTATATTTTGGCTGTTCTTTTACTTTTTTGATCTTCATGATGGTTTGACTATAATGTGACTTTTCAAAAACTCATTTTTTGTCTTTTCAATTTTCTGTTTTGAAAGTTTTTTATATATTTTTTGAGTTTAGTACTTTGTAATTTATGCAGTCACTGCACTGCCGCTGTACAATTTCTATTTGACACTTGTTGTCTCTTAGCTGGTTGTTGCAAAACTGTGATAGATGAATGCATGACCATACATCATAAGACAGAAATTACACTTTATTATAACATCATTCTTCACTTTCTCTCGATACAAACATTACGATCGATCAGCTCTCACACACACATACATACACAGACACACATCACACAGGGACGGATTTGTCTTTCTAGAAGTCATATTTTACCAAATACTTTTAGTTCAGTGGACATGATCTCAGTTGGGAATGAGTTCAGTGGAACATCTTAGGCTTATGGACCCCAGAAACTGCTGGGCACTGGCAAATGTCTTGGAGCCCTCTGCACGGGGAGCAGTGGTCGGCTGAGGTCTGGTTCTTTGACCTGGGGGAGGCCTAGAGCCCCGGCTCCTGGTGCGGACGGATCTTTGGATGGCACTACTTCAGCTGGTTACATCAGCACCATGCCATGTCTCTCTTGACGGTTTTACCGATTTTGCCGGTGTGTGTGTGTGCGTGTGTGTGTTAGGTCAAATTGTACACTCCAAACTGTTGTTGCTTTGAAAATAAATTAATCTATATTTACATTCAGTGAGCACATTTTCTATTGAAAAAAAGTGAAATGAAAAGTTAAAAAAAATATTTCAATATGAATTTCTTCTTTTATAATTCAAACTCTAAAATGTATGTAAATAGAGTCATATATACTGTCAGGCTGAAGTTGTGCTTTGAAATTCACTTTTTGCTGGAACCTTCAGCTGTTCCTTTCATGTTTACTTTTGACATTTAACCCAAAGATATTTACTTAGATGGATTGTGTCCGATGGTAACCCCGGTGAAACCCAGCCAAGGTGAATGTTCGCAAGTGAACTTCAATAATAACGAATCCAACTATGTTTGAGAATGCACTTTGTCATGAATGGAGAGTGATTTAAGTTTAGAAAATAATCGGAAATTTACATATTATATATGATCATTCACAATTAGTTTGACAGTTATTCAATTTGGTGATTATTATTTTGATTAGTAATTTAGCTGTTTTGATCACAACATTTATTTTATATCTTCAACAAGTCATATTCAACATATTCACCAAGTCATATCATGTGAGGCCATCTTCATTAGGGTTTGTCAAAATATCGATATGGATTATTTTATCTCATGGTTGACGTCCAGTAATCACAACTGTCTCCAGGGCATAGACTGTATATAATAACGGACGTAGTCACGCCTATCTCCGCCATTCTAACTAATGGAGTGATTCAAAATGGCTGCG